CTTATGTTGTCTTATTGCTCTGGCTAGAACTTCAAGTACTATATTAAATAAGTATGGGGAGAGTGGACAGGCTTCTCTTGTTCCTGATTTTAGTAGAATTGCTTTGAGTTTCTCTCCATTTACTTTGATGTTGGTTGTTGGCTTGCTGTAAATTGTCTTTATTATGTTTAGGTATGTTCCTTGTATTCTTGATCTCTCCAAGACCTTTATCATGAAGGGGTGTTGGATTTTGTCAAAGTCCTTTTCAGCATCTAGTGAGATGATCATGTGGTTTTTTTCTTTCAGTTTGTTTAAATGGTATATTACATTGACAGACTTTCGTATGTTGAACCACCCTTGCATTCCTGGGATGAAGCCTACTATACAATGGAAAAAAGAAAGCATCTTTAACAAATGGTGCTGGCATAACTGGATGTCAACATGTAGAAGACTGCAAATAGATCCATATCTGTCACCATGCACAAAACTTAAGTCCAAGTGGATCAAAGACCTCAACATAAACCCTGTTACTCTGAACCTGATAGAAGAGAAAGTAGGAAGTAGTCTTGAACACATTGGCTCCGGAGATCACTTCCTAAATATAACACCAGTAGCACAGACACTGAGAGCAACAATTAATAAATGGGACCTCTTGAACCTGAGAAGCTTTTGTAGGGCAAAGGACACAGTCAACAAGACAAAAACGACAGCCTACAGAATGGGAAAAGATCTTCACCAACCCCACATCTGACAGAGGTCTGATATCCAGAACATATAAAGAACTCAAGAAATTAGACATCACAATACTCAATAGTCCAATTAAAAAATGGGTTATAGAGCTAAACAGAGAATTCTCAACAGAAGAAGCTCAAATGGCTGAAAGACATTTAAGGAATTGCTCACCATCCTTAGTCATCAGGGAAATGCAAATCAAAACGATTCTGGGATACCAACTTATACCCGTCAGAATAGCTAAGATCAAAAGCACTGAAATCAGCTTATGTTGGAGAGGATAGGGAGCAAGGGGAATACTCCACTGTTGGTGGGAATGCAAACTTGTACAGCCACTTTGGAAATTAATATGGCGCTTTCTTAGAAAATTGGGAATCAACTTCCCTCAAGACTCAGCTATACCACTCTTGGGCATATATCCAAAGAATGCTCAATCATAACACAAGGACACATGCTCAACTATGTTCATAGCAGCATTATTTGTAATAGCCAGAACCTGGAAACAACCTAGATGCCCTTCAAGTGAAAAATGGATAAATAAAATGTGGTACATATACACAATGGAGTACTACTCAACAGAGAAAAACAATGACATCATGAGGTTTGCAGGCAAACGGATGGAAATAGAAAAAAATCATCCTGAGTGAGGTAACCCAGACTCCAAAAGACAAACATGGTATGCACTCACTCATAAGTAGATACTAAATGTAAAGCAAAGGATAACCAGACTGCAACTCACAACTCCAGGGAGGCTACCTAGTAAAGAGGACCCTAAGAAAGACACAGAGATCGCCCAACCAAAGAAATGGATGAGATCTACATGAGCAAACTTGGGGTGGGAGGTTAATGGAGGGCAAGAGTCAGGGGAAACAGAGCTTAGGGGAGCGGGAGGTCCCAGCTGGATCAGGAGCAGAGTGGGAGAATGGAGAGGGAGACACCAAGATGAATGAAGACCCCAGGGGAATAGGAAGAAGCAGAGTGCTGGAGAGGTCCCCAGAAATCCACAAAGATACCTCCACTACAGACTGCTGGCAATGGTTGAGGGAATGCCTGAGCTGACTTGCTCTGGTGATCAGATGGCCGAACACCCTGGCTGTTATGATAGGACTCTCACTCAGTGTCTGATGGAAGCAGATGCAGAGATCCACGGCCAAGCCCCAGGTGGAGCTCCAGGAGTCCAATCGGTGAGAGAGAGGAGGGATTGTATAAGCGAGAGATGTTGAGACAATGGTTGGAGGAAACACAGGGACAAATAGCCAAACTAATGAAATCTCTTGGAACTGTGAGACAATAGCTGAGAAGCCCCCATGGAACTGGACCAGGCACTCTGGATAATTGAGACAGTTGATTAGCTTCAACTGTTTGGGAGGCCCCCAGGCAGTGGAGCCAGAACCTGTCCTTGGTGCATGGGCTGGCTTTTTGGAGCCTGGGGCCTATGCTGGGACACTTTGCTCAGCTTCGGTGCAGGGTTAGGGGACTGGACCTGCCTGGGCTGAGTCTACCAGGCTGGACTGACTCCCCAGGGGAGACCTTGCCTTGGAGGAGGTGTGAATGGGAGGTGGATTGAGAGAGAAGGCTGGGAGTGGGAGGAGGGAGGACAGGGGAATCTGTGGCTGATATGTGAAATTGCCGGTTGTGGTGGCACAGGCCAGTAGGATTTGCTGAAGGAGGCGGAGGTAGGAGGATCACGAGTTTGAGGCCAGCCTGGGCTACACATTTTTAGAGGCATCCAGGCAGTGGGACCGGGTCCTGTGCTCATTGCATGAGTTGGTTGTTTGAAACCTGGGGCTTATACAGGGTCTTTTGGCTCAGCCTGGGAGGAGGGGACTGGACCTGCCTGGACTGAGTCTTCCAGGTTGATCTCAGTCCTTGGGGGAGGCTTTGCCCTGGAGGAGCTAGGAATGGGGGGTAGACTGGGGGGAAGGGGAGAGGGGCGGGAGGGGGGAGAACAAGGAAATCCGTGGCTGATATGTAGAAATGAATTGTATTGTAAAATAAAAATTTTAAAAAAAAGTTAATTATAAAATAACAACATTAAATTTTTAAAAAAAGACTATGAAAGGCATCATTTTCCCACTGTTACTATAGTGGCATTAACACAAGCTAACAGCATTCAGGAAATCTTGAATCCCTTCAAATCCTTTTTCTACAACAACATTTTTAGTCCTTAAAACAAGGCTGCATGACAATGTCTAATATTATTTCCACTTGGAAGTGGAGGAACCACATGTAGAGAAGTTAAATAGAAAATTGCTGAAGGAAACAGTACTTGTCACATGTACAGTTGGGATTTAAAAGCTGACTCTGTAATTTTAATTTTTTTAATTAATTTATTTTATTTACATTGGTGTTTTGCCTTCATGTATGTCTGCGTGAGGGTGTCAGATCTTGGAGTTACAGACAATTGTTAGCTGCCATGTGGGTGCTTAGAACTGAACCCAAGTCCTCCTGAAGAGCAGTCAGTGCTGTTAACCACTGAGCTATCTCTCCAGCCCCCATAATCTTAATTTCTATGGTATGCTATCTTATAAAGAAAAAACTCATTATACACTAACTTTGGAGTTTCTATCACATTTAAAAAAATAAGCTGTAAACATTGTGAAAACACCCCCACTTACCTGACTATCATTGTTACTTACTGTGCTGCATGCTTTTATGTCAACTTGACACATGCTAAAGACAGAACCTCAATAAGAAAGTTCCTCCATAAGATCAGGCTGTAGGCAAACCTGTAGAGCATTTTGTAATTAGTGACTATGGAGGAGGGCCAGGCTCATTGTAGGTGGGGCCTTCCCTGGGCAGGAGGTTCTGTGTTCTGTAAGAAAGCAGGCTGCCTTTAAATCGCATTTATTATGCTTAGGTATGTCCCTAGTATCCCTGATCTCTCCAAACTTTTATCATGAAGGGGTGTTGGACTTGTCAAAGGCTTTTTCAGCATCTAATGAGATGATCATGTAGTTTTCTTCTTTCAGTTTGTTTATATGGTAGATTACATTGGCAGATTTTCGTATGTTGAACCTTCCTTGCATCTCTGGGATGAAACCTACTTGATTATAGTGGATGATTTTTTTGATGTGCTCTTGGATTCGGTTTGTGAGTATTTTATTGAGTATTTTTGCATGTCTGTTCACGAGGGAGACTGGTGTGTAATTCTCTTTCTTTGTTGAGTCTTTGTATGGACACACTGAACCTGACAGAAGAAACAGTGGGGAACTGCCTTGACTGCACTGGCACAGGAGACAAACTTCTGAACAGAACACCAAAAGCGCAAGCACTAAGATCAACAATTAATAAATGGGACCTCATGAAACTGAAAAGTTTCTGTAAAGCAAAGGACACCATCCATAGACCAAAACGGCAGCCCACAGAATGGGAAAAGATTTTCACCAACTCCACATCTGACCGAGGGCTAGTATCCAAAATATATAAAGAACTCAAGACACTAGATATTAAAAAACCAAATAATCCAATTAAACAATAGGGTACAGACCTAAACAGAGAACTCTCAATACAGGAATCTCAAATGAATGAGAAACACTTAACACCCTTTGCAGTCAGGGAAATGGAAATCAAAACAACTCTGAGATACCATCTAACACCTGTCTGAATGGCTAAGATCAAAAACACAAGTGACAGCTCATGCTGGGGAAGATTACAGCCACTTTGGAATTCAAAACGGCAGTTTCTCAGAAAATTGGGAATTAATCCATTTCAGGATCCAGCTGTACCACTCCTGGCCATATACACAAAGTACACTTTATCCTACCACAAGGACACTTGCTCAACTGTATTCAGAGCAGCTTAATTCATAATAGCCAGAAACTGGAAACAACCTAGATGTTTTTGTCATAAAGCACAGTAGTTTTTATAATTAATAAAAGTGTAACGAATACGTTCTAGAGTCAGAGTCAATTAGAGATGGATAGTTTGTAACTTTCAGGAAAAGGTTTGGATTACTCTCAAACCTCCAGAACAAATTTACTTTACAATCTTCAGATGAAGTCTCAGGAATCCTAGGAGGATGGATGAACCCAAGAAAAACTGCATCGTAAGTTTGCTATGGTAACTCAAGCGTTTTCATCATGACTCCTTCCGTTGACTAGCCCTGGCAAGGGTCCCTCTTCTCAGACCATCCTCACAGCCAGTTCTCATGAGAACTTCCCAGGAAAGCTGGACTGTGGGTGAGCTGAGAGCAAAGAAGATGCTGATGGAGCCTTGGGGGACTTTCCTTTCTCCTTTCTGAAATTACTCCCAAAGCCCCTTTTAATAAGTACTTCTCTGATGCATACTTAAACTTTTTTCCTGTTTTGGCCTGCGTGCCTCCATTCCACATATGGTCAGTCTCTTCATAGAAGAAAAAAATGTCAAGTTTTACGTCATCTTTTCCCTGGAAGGATAGTTCCAAGCTGTCTTCCACCTATAGGAAAAACGAAAACCTTCACGGATTGAAATAACAGAAACACATTTTCCTATTTTAAATGAAGAAAAATGTTTTATATAGTGAGCATTAATTCTAAGCTGCATGCTTTTAAAACTTAAATCCCTGTCAAAGTGGGATACTATACTAGCCTTTCTTAAATGCATATAAAATAATGATTCTTAAATGATAACAATTCATGAGTAAATGCCTCATGGTAGTTAAAACTGTCACTCTGCAGGGAAAATTGAAGTACCAATTCCAGAGCCCCTTTAGAACTAAAGGAGGAAAGGAAAGTTATCCTAAAAGTAAAGTTCACATCGGACTTGGTGCATGTGTCTTCAACAGCATCATATAGTAATTTATGTGACCCTCAAGGAGATGAACGCTAATGTATCCATCTGCAGGCTACACTCAAAGCAGTGCCAGACACCAGCCTTTGGCAAGTATCTGCTCAGTGACTAAAGCTACTGCTTTGGCCTTAGAAAACACTAATTTTTTAAAAAAAATAAATTAGAATGATTACTTCTGATGGGGAGAAATAATTTTCCAGGAATGAAAAAAATTTGGTTACTTCCTAGGAACCAATTAAGAGCAGGATTATCACAAAGGATCATGGGATTTGTGAACAGCAATCAAACTATCTAGAGTTTTTCTCAGCCACAGCCCTTCCCCACATTAACCTCTGAGGAAGTTGCTCACCTTAGCACATGTAAGACAAGAAACTCAAGCACTTGTTAAACATGGCTTCCTATCTCTGTCCCTTAGCAATCGATGGGATATTTGTACTGATGATTATTATGACATCTAATCCTAAGTGAACATTTAATTAGACAACTCAGAAACAAATATAACTTCAAACAGAGTAGCAGGACTCTATATTAATTTTGTGCCATATTATTGTATAACAGAATAGCAACACATTCACTTACAAGAGCCCAAGTTCCTTCTTTCATATTATCAATAAAAGGCATATTTTTGAACTTTTCCTTAACTGGTATAGAAATGATAAGGGATAATAGGCTTCCACAGTCCATCCTGGTAAGTGCTGGGTGATAAAACTATGTTTGACATACCTTTAATCATGCATAAGTTAGTTAAGGTAAACTTTACAACTGAGACACATTATTTATGAAATTAAGTTCATTGTCACCAACCTTCCCAAACTTGTGTTTTAGTGGAAGTCCAGCATTCTGAAATGCCAAAATAATGTCAGGTTTGTAATCTTGTATAAAAATTCCCAGGTCGACATCTTTGCTATAAGGAATAATACTGCACTGCCGATACCATCCTAAAAAGGGGAGGAGGATAAAATATGTTTAAATTATATTTGGAAGATTAGTTATTATCATGAACAAACCTTATAGTAATGGCTATCATTTCATAAGGTTGTGCTTGGGGTTCTTTATTAAAATTATTTTTTAAAAGTTAAATCCCAAACTAAACCAGTTGGCTACAGTAGTTACCTTGAAGAATCAATCTCCCTACTCTTTTCCCTTCTTTTTCTTTCCTCTCTCTCTCTCTCTCTCCCTCCCTCCCTCCCTCCCTCCTTCCCTCCTGCCTTCTCTTCTCCAAGCCTGAGTGCTCAGCTTCCTCAAAAGTTTGAATGAAGACAGACATGGTGGCTGACACTTTTATGTCAGCCTGTCTGTTCTACACAGTGAGTTTCAGAACAGCCAGGGCTACACAGTGAGATCCTGTGTAAAAAAAAAAGTTTTCAGGATACATAATAATTTCTGAGTAGATCATTAGCTTTAATAATGTATTAATTGGTCCTTTCACTTAAACAATCGCTGTTCAGAGTCTTTAAACATTAAATTTAATGATTGAGACTGCTTTATGATGTGTTAAGAATATTAATTCTCTTAATATGCTCTCCTGAGTCCATAATCTATAGCACTTAACAGCTCCCACAGCTCATAACTAATGGGTCACATAAAAGATCTTTTAAGGTATGATATGCAGTGCATACCCAATGCTATTTCTCGGTGTTTCTTGTGTATCTACATCTGGCTTAGATGCCTCAACAATGGACTGAGAAAGCTTACACCTAAACATTATTAGTAACTCCCCAGTCCTCCCTACTAGCTTCTAACCTTTCCACTCCAATAGCTTTTAAAGTACGTAAGTGTCTATAGTCAGCCCAGGAGGCATTGCTATTACAAAATATGATTTGGAATTATAAAAGAATTCTAATAAACAATTATGAACTATAAAAAAAGAAGGGATTTCTGGGTGTTGCAGCACTCACCTCAACAATGGAGGCTGAAACAGGTGGAACTCTGTAAGCTCAAGGCTAGCCTGGTCTACACAGACAGTTCTAGGCCAGCAGGGCTACATAGTAAGACCTTGCTTAAAACGCACTCACACACACACAAAACATGAAAAATTGCTGCAAGGAAAAAAAAATGTAACGGAATTCAGCTACTATCACAAAACTACTACTTGGAAAGGTCAAGGACTTTACTGAAGGTCAAGCCATGGCTTAAGAAGTCTTGGTGATATTTTAGCTTGATGTGTATATATATATATATATATGTTAGCTGATTCCTGCAATGATTTTCTTGTATGCTATGTATGCTTCCAAGAACTCATAACAGTGTATTTTATCTGAAATACCTGTCAAGCATCCAAGGCCAAACAATCTCCGGAATTAAGGCAAATTAAGCTGAGACCCTGCTTTCTTATAAAGCCTTAGTGGTATTTATACTAACATTATATATTCCTAACATTTACCTAACCACCTCTAGGAATGTAGTTTGAGCACATAAATTCCCTTTTTTTGATATATTAACTGATTTTAGCTCTTAGTTGACCTCCTCCTTTACCACTCCCCTTTTGGGTTGTAAAAGAAAGCCGGACATTATCTGCCTGAGGAAAACTCTCGTCTGCCTGTATGACCCTGTAAGAATTCAAGCCTGGTGACCTTGCTTTAGCTAGAGCAGCGCTATTGCATGGGTAAATAACTGTAAACCTCAAAGATTGAGGAGGATTTTGACTGAGAGGATTTTGAGTGGAGAACTAGAAGAATGAGATGGAAGATGAGGAAGAGCCAGATGGGGACGAACAAGATGGGGAAGAACAAGATGTGAAAGGCCAACATGGGGCAGAATTAAGATGAGAGAAGTAAGATAGAACTTAGAGGGGACAGCAGATGAAGGTAGAGAGAAATCAGGCAAGAGAGGAGCTAGGCATGAGAACAGAACTGAAGCTGTGTAGACAGGATTGTAGAGGAATAAAGTACACACTAAGAGCTCGGTGTACTTAGATTCTTTTCCTGAAAATAATTCCTGCTTTTCTTCTGAAACTCTGGGAAGAAGATTATTAAGGCTGGCCCTTAAAAATATTTGAGAAATAACTTCAGTGGTCGTGGTGGCTTCGGTGGCAGCTGTGGTGGTGGTGGATATGGTGGCAGTGGGGATGGCTATAATAGATTTGGTAATGATGGAAGCAATTTTGAAGGTGGTGGAAGCTACAATGATTTTGGCAATTATAACAATAAGTCTTCAAATTTTGGACCAATGAAGGGAGGAAACTTTGGAGGCAGAAGTTCTGGCCCTTATGGTAGTGGTGGCCAGTACTTTGCTAAACCACGAAACCAAGGTGACTATGGTGGTTCCAGCAGCAGCAGCGGCTATGGCAGTGGCAGGAGGTTCTAATTACAGCCAGGAAACAAAGCTTAGCAGGAGAGAAGAGCCAGAGAAGTGACAGGGAAGCTACAGGTTACAGCAAATTTGTGAACTCAGCCAAGCACAGTGGTGGCAGGGCCTAGCTGCTACAAACACGACATATTTTAGACAATACTCATGTGTACGGGCAAAAAACTCCAGGACTGTATTTGTGACTAATTGTATAACAGGTTATTTTAGTTTCTGTTCTGTGGAAAGTGTAAAGCATTCCAACAAAGGGTTTGACTGTAGATCTTTTTTCACCCATGCTGTTGATTGCTAAATGTAATAGTCTGATCATGACGCTGAATAAATGTGTCTTTTTTTTCTTTAAAAAAAAATATTTGAGAAAAAAAAACTACCTAAAATAAAGGGGTTCTTAAATATCACTTAACACACAGTATCATCAAATTTAATTCTTATTTTATAAATGAAATAAACCATGAGGGTAAAAAAATCTCAAATCAAATGACTATGCTTTTTCACTACTGACTATAAAAACATACATGCTTCTATAAAAATGTTTTCAAGCAAATATGCACACACAAGAGATTACCATGTATTCTTTTATGCTTTTACTGTTTTGTTGTTGAGACACGGTCTCACATATTCCAGACTGGCTTTGAATTTGCTATGTTGCTATGGCCTTGAACTTTTGAGCCTCCTGCCTCTACCTCCTGTGCTGGATTAAAGATGTGTGCCTCACCTGTCTAAGCATGTAATCTCTCATACAGCCCAGTATATAGGACAGCTATGAATATCAGGTTACACCTGTTGTACCTGCATAATTATTTAAGGCATTTCCTTTCAGTCTCAAAGTGTTCTGAATGGGAAAATAAATTTTATAGTAACTTTTTAAAGCTGAATTAACTGGAATTAACTTCTGAACAAATACAGTCACAATAAAAAAAAAAAAAAAAACATAGCCGGGCGGTGGTGGCGCACGCCTTTAATCCCAGCACTCGGGAGGCAGAGCCAGGCGGATCTCTGTGAGTTCGAGGCCAGCCTGGGCTACCAAGTGAGTTCCAGGAAAGGCGCAAAGCTACACAGAGAAACCCTGTCTCAAAAAACCAAAAAAAAAAAAAAAAAACATAATCATAATCAACTACAGTAAAAATTGAGAAGGAACAGATAAATGAAACAATCTTAAGGATCTAAACAATACTAAAGTCCAAGAAGCTGACATAATGAGTGGTGTATCCAGAAACCTTTTTCAGATTCTAATAGCTGCCTGTTTAAAACTACAAAAAGCATCTTTCCCATCTCAGGTGAACAGTGATGCCTAACCAGTGATGCTCTCAATGACCTGGAAGTTATAGGTGACCTTAAAGCATGCCTGTCAATCTTCCTCTCACTAGAAATGTTTCCTGAAATATTTCAATTTAAAGCAATAATAATCTTTGAGATAGAAATAGCAAAATGCCATTTAAGGATTACTTGAAACGAAACATACTCTACATGTCTGATATAAATTTGTACACATTATTATAACTTTTAGTAAATACAATTGCCCTTATGATTCTATTTTACAGGGCTGGAAAGATGGCTCAGTAGCTAAGTATAACATGAATCTTAAAAGGTCTTATTAATAAAAATAAAAAAACCCAAACAAACCCAGCACCAGGTACTGGAGAGAAAGCTGGAAGATCAGAGAGGCAGAATAAGCCATAGCCAACCTCACCTCACCAACTCTTCAGCCAATCCTGTTTCCTCAGACTGGAAGCCTCCGAGTCCTTATCGGAAAGGGATCTCAGTTCAACTGCTTAACAGCCTAAAAGCTTAAAAGCTTCTAGTTCCTTGTCCTCATGCCTTATGTACCATTCTGCTTCCTACCATCACTTCCTGGGATTAAAGGTGTGTGTCTTTTCCAAACAACACATGAGATCTCAAGTCCTGGGATGAAAGGTGTGTGTCCTTCCCAAGCCAAGACATGATATCATAAGTGCTGGGATTAAAGGTGTGTGCCTGTACACCTGGCTCTGTTCCTAGTGTGGCCTTGAACTCACAGAGATCTGGATGGATCTCTGCCTCGGGTATGCTAGGATTAAAGGTGTGTGCCACCACTGCCTGGCCTTTATCTAGTGGCTGTTCTAATCTCTGACCCCAGATAAGTTTTATTAGAGTACACAATATATCACCAGAGTTAAGAGCACTGGCTGCTCTTCCAGAAGACCTGAATTCAATTCCAAGTACCCACATAGTGGCTCATAACCATCTATAATAGGATTTGATGCCTTCTTCTGGTACTCAAGTGTATATGCAAATAGGGCACTTCTATATATGAAATACATAAATAAATGGCTTTAAAAAGATTCTATTTTATATTTCATTAATTACTTTATTTAAAGGAGTCAACACATCTTTGCTTTATACATTAATGTTTGTTCTGCTTATGAATACTACACTTCCAATATTACTGATACCTGATCACTTCAAACATTCACTCTTAAAGCCAAAAGGAAGAGATGGAGATAAAAGGAAAGCATTTTTACCTAGACAAGTTCCACTGCTCAGCCAGAAGGGCACTCCCAATTCCTGTAATGTTTTGGCAGCTAGTTGCAGTAATTCCTTTGCCCTCCTCCGAAAGGCCACAGCATCCACAGTGTTATCCTCAAGGTACTGCTGAAAGTTTAATAAAGTTATTTATTATAACAATCCCTAAACTGTTAGAAACTTTTCTATGATATCTGAATTGAACTTGGAAATTAACACTGTATCTTTTTTCTACTGCAAAAAATCCAAATGTAGGGGGCTTGGGTGGCTCAGTGGCTTTGGATTCTCAACACCCATATAAAAGCTGGGAGTGTTGGTGTGGGTCTGCGATGCCTGTGCTGTGGGGGTGGCAGAGAAAGGAGACAAACAGATCCTGGAGCTCCTTGGCCAGCCCATCTAGCCAGTCCATCAGTTCCAGGTTAAGTGAGAGACACTGTCTCAAAAAATAAGGTGAAGAAGTTGTGGACTGCTGCTAATGTGCCCAAGCTCTGGTGCATGGCCCCACTCCCACGTGCATGTAGGAAGCACTAATTGGATTCTTTGAGTTATAAAAATAAGAAGACAGGAAAATGGAAAGGGGGTGTATTGGGCAGGAGTACAGGGGAGCTGGGAGTGGATATAATCAAGACGTAATAGAGGAAGACACCTAGTTCCAACCTCTAGCCTCACAGACACAAGTGCACAAGTGTGCCCACATATCTACATACAGGCACAAATGCATATACCCCACAAGTCCAGAAATCAAAGTTTATAGTTGCTTCTTAGTCACACATTAAAATAATTCAAATAGATTCTAGGAGCAGCCAAGTTAAGAGGAAGAAATTTAAATAATGAGGATTCCCCAACGATGAGACTTGAAACTGTTATCTGTTTCCTCTGTACATCAGAAGTTAGCAGGCTGGGCAGTTGGGAGAAAAGAAGAGCTAATTACAGAGCCAGGAGCATTATTTAAACCAAATAGATTATATGATGTTTTAGATGTAGTTGTTTACTTGTCTTTACAGATTGGGTCATCAAGCAGAAAGACACATTTTGAATCAGACCATCTGTGTTGGACTCTAGGTCCATCTCCTTTGGGATGGGCAGATCATTTTACAAGAGTGTAAGCTCAATGAGGAGGGGACGTTTGTTGGGGTATTGTATAAAATACCCCAGTGTCTAGAACAGTATCTCTACATCTGAAAAATGAACAACAGAATGGAAGAAACAAATTTCACTGTGGTTAATGTCCTCATTTATAACTTAAAGATAATAACTATGCTTTATACAACTACTGTACAGATTGGAATGAAAGTCCTTTTGTAAAGTATAAGAATTTGTACTAATGTTATCTTTTACTTAGGCATTTTAGTTTTCTGCTATAGTACACTTTATTCTGTAACTGAAGAAAACAGCATGAATTCTTCAGTGATATTTCACTATGGAACAAAATATAAACTACTTGGTCTAGCAGACCAGGGACACAGGTCTTTGGCTGTGTCTGGCCTCATCACTAGCCTCTTTTTACATGTCCTGTTATAGTAATAAAATATAATTTCTCAAATATACCACAGCCTTTCTAGCCTATGTGACCTTATATGTTGCTTTCTTTTTCAGTATGCCTGTGACTAACAAAATCATGTTTCAGCCTCAGTCTCTGAGAAATATCCTCATTTCCCTAAAAAGACAGATGAGTGTGTTTCCCCAATGTTTCCATTCAACACTTGCTAATACATAAAGCCAAGCAAAATAGTCAGCTCCTCCATGAACTTACAATGATTGCCACTTACACAGAAGTTTTAAGTCCCTAATTTATTTTTTACTATTTTATGTATATGAGTTTTTGCCTGCATGCATGCATGTCTGTGTACTATGTCCATGCCTGGTCCCAGGAAGGAAAGAAGAGGACATCAGATATCCGGGAAATCGAGTTCTAGACTGTTGTGAACTGCATGTGGGTGCAGGGAATCAAACCCAGGTCCTCTGGAAGAGCAGCCAGTGCTCTTAACCATTGAGCTAGTCCTCTGTCTTTTTAATTCTTATATTTAGTTGTAACTGTTGGTTTTGTGTCATTTCCCAGTGAGGCTGTAAACATATGAGAACAGGTACTGCATTTCTCCCTCACTGAATCAACAGCTTTAGAATGCCACCTGGTACAGAGTAGGTTAGCAACAAATACTGGTGAGTGGCTAAATGAAGAAATGATTGTAGCTGTAAGGTTTCTCAGATCCCACCCAACGCCAAGGTCCTCTGATGCTTATAAAATAATCACTCAGAGGCTTATATTAATTATAACTGTTCGGCCATTAGCTCAGGCTTATTAAGACTAAGTGCTAAGCCAATAATGCCTGTCAATGTTAAAAGCATCTTAAAGCTACAATTTCCTCTCTGTTAAAGAACACTCACCTTATGGGAAACCTCCCTTCCAGATGTTGGCCAGAGGAGTCTAAGAAGCTCCCCAAACAATATAAGCCATTGTCCTTGGTTGTGTTCCAGAACATGAAGGTAAGACCTTATTGCTAAAGACACTACATACTTCAGACCCAGGGCGTGGAGGAGTCAACCCAGAAATGAACAGCTGAGCACGGGGCATCCATCTCTAGTTAATACATCTACAACACAGTCTTTATATCGAAGACTCAGGAAACATGGAAAAAGCAGCAGAAAGACTCTACAAGTGAAAGGATCAGAATGTCTACTATGAGAGAGTACCCTCTATAGATAACAGGGATGTGTACCTAAAAATCTTAACAATATAGTCACCTAAACAAGACCTGTACAATGACAGCATCAGCTGATATTACAATGTGGATGGGGGAAATTCCACAAGGCTCCAACCCTAGATGAAGAGCTACAGACAATTAATGGCTGTTGAGAGGGACAATCCAATCTCTCCAGTAGTAAGTCCCCTGACAGGTCATCCAATGTTGTTTAATTAGATCTTACAACTTAATTGGGCTGGAGATAATGATTTGAATTTATAAATTTTATCAAACAGATTTAGAAATAAATATAAACAGACATATGTATAATGTCCCTGTTAAATGAGAGGGCCTGTGTACAGAAAAACCCAAACAGCAATGAGCATGCTCCCTACTGTTTAGATCTTGGCTTATACAAGGACCCACGACTCAGAGAAATGGCTGAACCCAGGGCTGAGACAAGAAATTCACAAGATGAACTTAGAATATCTATATTTTGCTAAAAATGAAGAAAGATGGAGATAAGACAGAAGACACAGAAGCTGTGGTCAAGAGTCTTCTAACAGCCAAATATGCAACAATCTTCAGATAAAAATCAATGATAAAAGTAAGGGTCTACAATTCATGAAAACAGGAAACCATGAGTTTCTTATTTAAATAACAAATTTGATGAGAAATGTTAATATTTAAATAGTTGCAAAGTAACTTGCAAACAAATACTTCTAATTACAAAGGAAAAAATGCAAAGTCACAAAAGACTTTAAGACTTGAAAACTGGGTGAATGATGTAAACATCAACAGTGTTCTGTAGCCCTTCCCCTGAACTTAAACATTTCCAGCAGGGGGAGAAGGGAGGTCACAGGACTCAGGAAGTACATGAAAACTAAAGGTCCCAGGAAACTCCCCAAATCTGCAAGCTTCACAAGGCCTCACCCCAAGGTTATGAGTGCATCAACAGTTTCTAGGGTCTGAGACTGATGGTGTCCTGGAAGCTGTTAGGAGCTCTAGGGCACGCAGCTTTCCTAAGTGTCACTTGCACAGGGGGAAGCTTCTTGGTGATGTTTAAAACTGGTCTTGCTATATGCCTTAGCAGGCCTTGAACTTTGGGCAATCCTCCCGTCCTGGCCTCCCAAGTGTGGAAATTACAGGCATGTGCTACCACACAGAGTTAGATTGAGATTAAAAGCAATGTATGTTAATCCCTAATTTTTTTATTCAGATACAGAGAATATTCTGGTTTTTAGAAAACCCTGTTATTTAAGGCTTCAGGACACTAGTTTATAGCTCACTCTCAAATGTGCCAAAAAAAAAATGTTATTTGCGTTGTACTTGCAACTGTTACTTAAGTCTGATACTCTTTTAAAATCATCATTAAAATAAACGAGCAACTTTACTAGATCTTTGTTTGTTTGTTTGTTTTGTTTTTTAAATTTGATTAATTCATTACTATAACCATCGTGTGTTTATTATTTCATTTAAGACTGTTTGGCGCCATCAAGTGTTCAAATGGGTGTAAGTTAACTTTAATTTGAAAGTGGACCCTCTTGGTCTTTTACTTATCAGGGTACTAACCTAAGAAACAAAGAATGAAACATGTAAGAGGAAAAAGATAAAAAACATGACCAAACCTTTTAGTGATTCCACATCTGTAATATCAACACAATGTCAGGAGATAAGAACAAATTAGGCATCACGAATGTCATGGCAACAATTGATAACCATGAATAAAATAGGTGCCTGCTGTTAAGTTCACAGAATTAGAAGGGTAAGAGACACTGACAGTTCACTGTGGCAACTGCTATGGCAGAGGTGGGCAATACCCTTTGGTCAGGAAGCACCGAACTCCATCACTTCTACTCCTTCTTTTTGTGGGTTTTCAAACAGGGTTTCTCTGTGTTAGAGCTCTAGCTGTCCTGGAACTCACTTTGTAGACCAAGCTGGCCTTGAACTCACAGAGGTCAGCCTGTCTCTGCCTCTGGAGTGCTGGGATTAAAGGTGTGTGCCACCACCGCCTGGCTTACTTCTACTTCTTATTACTATGTGCTGAAGGCAGTGCTTACCCACAAAACAGGCCTATCCACACATGCTGCTTTCTAGCTTCTCTCCCACCAAGATCAGTAGATCTGACAGCCCTACAATAATAAATTCAAAGGACTAGGAAGAGCTAGAAGAACCACTTGGACTGTCAGGCCGAAGTCTTGGGTACCAGCATACAGTATCTGAGACCCTTGTATTTGAGCACTGGATACTGGGCAGCAATAAAAAGTTGATATTTAGTTTCTCATTCTATTTGTACTAATTTGCTTTATATTGTGTGATAAACACTATGATCAAAAACCAACTTGGGGGAGAAAAGGGCTTAACTCATCTTACAACTAACTCCCATTCACAGTCCATACCTGAGGGACTCAGGACAGGAACTCAAAGTAAGACCTAAAGCACAGATTTGGGCAGTGATGGCACATGCCTTTAATCCATCACTAGGGAGGCAAATGCAGGTGGATTGCTGAGTTCGAGGCAAGCCTGGTCTACAGAGTGAGTTCCAGCCAGGGCTATACAAAGAAACCCTTTTTCAAAAAAAAACAACCCCCCCCCAAAAAAACAAAAAGAAAAGAAAAGAAACAAACAACAACAACAAAAAACCCAAACAAAAAAGAACTGAAGCAAGGACCATGAAGTAATGCTACTTCCTGACTTACTCAGCTATAAGTCAACCCCAAATCATTTGCATAGGTGTGGCACTGCCACCAGTGGGCTGGACCCTCAGAAATCAATCACTAATGGAGAAAATAGCCCATAGGATTTCCTACAGGCCAGACTTTGACCAGGGAATCCCAGAAAATAAAAGGCAAGTAGAAGAATTAGGAAACCAAATCCCCACATCAAACTCTGTTTTCAGTGTATCTCTGGTTTCATAAAATTGTTAGAGTTGGACAATAAAATTATTTGTATACCACTACAGTCAGAAACCTACAAAGCTAGATTCACAGAGGAAAAACTAAAAATTCAGCTGGTCTCTGGATAGCACTTGTTTAGCATTTGCCAAAGACTCTCACACTCATATTCAGTGCCAAATGTCTGATAAAAAAAAATAACCCTATTTTCATTTAGTCTTTCTAAATCCACATGGATCCTCTTCAGTGGCTATATTCTAAGTCAACATAAACTTCTTAAAAAACACAAAAAGAGCAAAACAAAAACAAAACAAAAACAAAAAACAACAACAAAAAAACAGGCTAGAGAAATGGCTTAGGGTTAAGAGCACTGGCTGCTCTTCCAGAGGTCCTGAGTTCAATTCCTAGCAACCACATGATGGCTCACAACCATCTATAATGAGATCTGGTGCCTTCTTCTGGTGTACAGGAATACTATATACATGGTAAATATATAAATCTTAAAAAAAAAAAAAAAACACCGCTACTTTAAAAACAAAGCTTATGAACTCTCATAATTTTGGAATGAAGCAAGGGTTAATTCTATCAGGATCTAATAAAACAAAGCAATATATATATATGCCCATTCCCCAATCAGGGTAGAAAAAATTGTGTGTGCGTGTGTGCGTGTGCGTGTGCGTGTGTGTGTGTGTGTGTGTGTGTGTGTGTGTGTGTGTATAATTCCAGCACTTGGAAGATGGAGGCAGAGGGTTGAAGGTGATGTTCCACTACACGGTGATTGCAGAGGTAGCCTGGACCACCAAGAGCCTATCTCCAACAGGAAAGCATAGATTCTGCTGGCTGATAAGGCAAGTTTGTAACCCCAGCACAAAGCCAGCTTAGGCACAAGATCTCAGTTAGAAAGCATCCCTGGGCTCATGCACCTGCTACTGCACCTGGTGGGGAAAATCAAACTCAAGCCCTGTGCATTTCAGACAGGCACTCAACTCATTACGCTACACCCCTAACCCTTAGGGAAAAAATGAAGTTTTTAACTTTAAATTAAAAGAAAATAAGTAGGATGAAAAATGATCAACTTAACAAGACATTTAAACCTATTCTGCACAAGCCATCTTCACTTCCTCTTAAAAACTAATCGAGCCCTAATTCTCATTAATTTAATTTAGAATTATATTATTTCATCGTCTCTAACCTGAAGGAATGCCCGAGCTTCTTTATACCTGCACTCGATAAATCTGGAGTGTAGTACTTCTTCTAGAAAGTGTCCTGGGTCTTTTGGAATAAGCACATCTAGTCCATCTACAGTAACTTGCTGTAACTCTGGCCTGAAAAGGAAAGTTAAGATTTTCTATCAACATTTAATCCAGAACACAGGCAGCCTTTTAAAATAGTGAACATTAGCCAAGGAGCTAAACATCAAGTGAATTTTCTTCAAATACTTCAGGTATCAATCAACAACTTTATTAGGACCTTGGAAATCTGACATCCAATAGCAGAGCAGAATTTCAGTATTAAGTATTTTCACTAATGCAGCTTAATTTGGGAGTGAGGAGGGAATGGTATGGAATGAACCTCGGGCCCTCTGCATGCAGCCACTGAGCTACATCACCCCTCTTTTTTTAAGACAAGTTCTTCCTAAGTTGACAAAGCTGGCACTGATTTTGCAGTCTTACTGCTTCAGACTCCCAAGAGCGGGGATTACAGACCTGTGCCACTAGGGCTGACTTGGTGCATCTAAAATAGTTTTATAGCTACTTTGGCATTTTAAGCAGAAATGAAAGTTGAATGACATCCTTTTTCAGTTACCAATTTAGTTTTAAAGAAGTAAATAGTTCTTAAAGTTAAGAAATACTGAGTTAAATTACTGTAGCTTGGGAGCCTCACTGACTGGAAAGTTACCTGGAACCGACCTTCTATGAGTATTTCTTGAGAACGTTCTATTCCTCTAGGTAAAACTATAAAATGTACAAATGGCTTTATCTACTGGCACACATTACACTTACAAGTTATTTCTTAATTGGCAATATTGAACTTAATTAAATTATTAACTAAACTTTGATATAAATTTTTAATACCTTAAAGAACTAAATGACTCCCCCCCACAAAAAAATGTTTGAAACACAAAGTAAGAAAAAGTGCTTATGTGAATAGTGGCTAAGATTTCGACAAAAATAAAGGAAGAAACATTGACAAGAAACTGTTTCTTATAACCCACTAATCGTCACTTATATTCCTGACTTCCCCAGTTCTGAACACCCTTTCAGCTGTTTCTCAAATTCATGATGTTAAACACTAACAAGAAAACAAAAATACACATGCCCTTACAGTTCTAAAGCTAACAAAGCAGTGTTTCTCTAAAAGTGGTAGCAAAACATATCGATATGAAAATTCTTATTAGAATGATAGACTTTAAGGCAAAGGACAAACATTCACTGCTATATTCATATCAAGTTCCAGAGTTTCAGACAGATTATAACATCATTAAGGACTTCCGAGGAGAAAGAGAAGTCCGACTCTGGGTCAGAAAGCTGACATTCACAGTCCGGTTTCCTGAGTCTCCTCAAGTACCTGTTTCCATTCAGCAGCGTTTACTAGTGTGATAGTTAAGGACAGACTTCTACACAGAGTATTATTTTTATTCCCATGATCTGTCTTAGTTTTTTGAGGCAGTGTTTCACGATTACAGCCAGGTTGGCTTGCAACTTGTTCCTTGGCCCAGTCTCACCTACGGCTTGCAATTCTCCTGCTTCAGCTTCCAGAATGCTAGGTTTACAGGTGTGAGTCAGGACACAGGGAAATTAAAATAACACACACACACACACACACACACACACACACACACACACACACACACACACAAACACGCTCACTCAAGTGCATGTAAACATAAAGGCACAAAATAATGCATTACAAGCATTTGTGTCTTCATCTTCATCACAGACACTGAATCTTGTCAGCTCCCCTGGAGGTCTCTGAACCCCACTCAGTAACTCCCTGTCTATCCTTCCCCTTCTAGGGATACATTCTATCTTCTTTGGGGGTAACTTTTCCTTACTATTCTTAGTACCTTTATTCTATTTTAAACATATCCATGAACACAGTATAGCATATGCTATTATTCTTTTCTGCCTTGGAACACTCAGCATTGTAGGACCCATCCATGCTGTTGCCGAATTGCAGCAGATTTCACTGACGTATATAATACTTCAATGTAGGAGTATACAGATTACATATAACTATAAACACATAATATCACTGATTTATTATTGTTTATTGTTATAGACAGACTTACCTGTCAAAAGCTCCAGGATAACGACCGAACTGTAACTTTCGAAAAGGAACAAACTTTCTGTCCACGTGTCCTTGGAGCCGCAGGTGACCATGCCAGAGGTAGTTGCCGCTCCTCTCATGAAAGAACACCAAGTGGATGGCATGAGTGGCCAGCTTACAGACATAGTGCAGAGGGATTTCAGTTCCAGAAAGTGAGTCGATTCCATCTAGCCGAGGATCTTTGCTTTCAGTCTTTAAGCACTGAAATCCCATATTCTCAGCTATCTGAAACCAGCCATCCTAGAATAAGGAAAAGATCAAGCCTGAATATTTTAAACCAAATGCTAATAACAAAACTAAAGCAATCGTTACACCATTAATGAAGCCATATTTTTGTCTTGATTTGCTTTTTGCCAGAACATTGTAAAAAAGGACAGTAGGAAACAGAAGGTAGTGCGGAAAGGAGGAAGTAGCAAAACAAAGGTATGGAGAATGGAGAATAGGTCTCAGGACTCTGAAAATAACACAAATTTCTCCCGAAGGAGAAGAATGTTCATTTAGTGTCCTCCCATTAGTTTCTATGAAGTAGATGTTAGTAGGAAGAACAGAAAGCAAACTTACAATTCTTATCTCCTAACACTTAAAAATGCTATAACAGAACCCCTACCACAGTGCAAACATCAGCAAAAAGATTGCAATGTACTGTAAGACAATGGACGTTTTGAAAATCATTATAATTTAAATCTCATTTATCAAGATTATCCTACATGTAGAATTTAGATGACTAAATATTACTATGAGTATCTGCTAGCCCAATGGATATGTCTACATTACAACTCAGCATCTATGGTTCGGGGAACATTGCAGAAGAGGGGATCAAAAGACAGTGAAAGACATAATACCAGGAAGCCTGCTGGGAAAGGCTCTCCTTGAAATGGCTGATGCAATTCTGTTTCAATTAAAAACATTATAAAAAAAAAAAAAAAAGAGTCTCTGCTGGGTACAGTGGCCCATCAACTGCAGTCCTTGCCGAAAGACTGTAAATTTGAGGTCAGCCTCAGCGTTAGTGAACTCCTGATTCTTAGAAAATCTTGTATTTCACTAGGAATTTATAATCTCTAAAGAACTTTTACTTGTATTCTTACATTTCCATTTGAATATTATACTTACCCTATAAAAGAAGTAGCATAAGCATAATAGGTAAGGAAACATACTTCAAGTCAACTTTCAAAACACAGCTAATAATACACAAAGCCACCTAATGTGTACAAAGTGCCAGCACACTGATATCTCCTTTGCTACCCACAGAAACTATGTGAGGCCAGCAAGGAAGGTTCTACTTACATCTAACCTATAGTCCTGGAACATAAAGCTTTCAGAAAGTGTGTCTCACTGTCCACAGAATTCAGAAAGATATTGAAGACCAAACCCAGACTGTGAGGCTTGGTGACAAGCCAGCTCACCTGCTGAGTCATCTCACCAGTCCCTAGCAGACCTTTTCTTCTTCCACAGACTCTGGTCATGTTAGTCTTGCCTAGTGTTTATTCCTTCCTTCCAAAGTAGCAAGAGTATTGCACTCAAGAGACACTTTGGAAACGTGGAGGAATATTTCGTACCATAACAATAAACTGGTATTTAGAGGCCGAGGCCAGAACACTGGTGTGTGAGTGACTGTCCTGAGCCAAGCAATGACCACCTTGGGAAGTCCAGCTGTGCCCTCTCGCAAAAGGTCATCCCATTTGGGCTGGTTGACTGCTCACACCCCTCATGGAGGGCTACAGAGGGTCTCAAGACCTGCACCTGGGTTTCCAGCAGCCCCCCCACATCTACTGTATGCAACTCTGCCTTAACTACACCAGGTGATGCCTCCAGGGAGAGCTAGAGAACAGAGGCCAGGGCAAACTAGGAGAAAGAGGCTCCACGTATGTGATGATGGAGAAGATCATTTAGGTAAAGGCTTTCCAGGTGAGGCCAGTTGCGGGGCAGCACCCACACCCTGTGAGTAACCTCTCATCTGTAAGTCAGCTCAAGAAACTCACTGGATTCCCAGAGAGAACTTCTGTGGATCATGCCTCAGTTTGTCACTGGGAACTGGTGAGAAGATGTAGCCACTGTTTATGTCTCTCTCTGAGAAGTAATTTTAGCTACATCTGGGTGTTTTATAATCTAAAATACAAAAATCTGCACTGTTTTATACATAATTTAAAATATGCTATCAGATGGGAACAGTGAAAACCCTGTTTACAATGACCTCAACCCTTACCTCCCAAGATGAAATAACTGTATTAATGAAGACAGAATTTTACATTATATTATTATTGGGAAAGGGTTTTGTTATGTAGCCCAGGCTGACTTGAAATTTTTGTACTCCAGTCTCCCGAGTGCCTAATTTACTTTCTCTTGCTGGCTACTTTGAGAAATCACATTACTAACAACAATGTCATGTGTAACAACAGTCTATATTTACAGCAATAACACTCTGCAAACACACAGACATAGATATAAGAATCACTTATATTACACTTATATTAAGTATAATGTATAGTATACTTCCAATGTAGCCATTTCAGAACTTTTATACACTGAAACATCATTACTTCATTTGATCTGTAGGTTATAAGTGTGACGTTATGTTGATATGGGGGAGTACATATATGTAAAGGTTATAATTACTACAAACTTCATTTGAGGAAATACTGATATAAAACTGTAGTGGGTAGCCATTCCAGCTTTGATCTGGAAGTTCCAACCCCCATTGAGACTTTGGCAACTGTCACGCCTACAAGGCGGGGCCAAGGGAGGCGCCGGGGGACCCGAGATCGGATCGGTGGGCGCTCTCTCTGTTGCGGGACCCTGGACTGGAGAGGTGGACCGAGCAGAGCTCCAGAGAACACCGCTGGACTGTGATACACCTTCCCCAGACTCCGCGACCTACCTATTCCTTAATTTGTAAGTTACGCCATTAAATAAATCTCCTTTTAACTACGTGGAGTGGCCTTCATAATTTCACCAATATCTGGCACTCACGTGGGGCAAGTTCCAAAGGCCTGGGTGGCTCCCGCCCTCAGCCTCCTGCCCGGCTAGCGGGTACCTAAACCCGCCTGCAGAGTTCCATAGAACCAGGGAACACCTACACGGTTCCATTCCCGAAAAAGGGAGCAGCTAGTCCGGTCTCAGCTCCCTAGCTTAGCCCCCAGACCAGCGAAAAACCGCTGTGAGTGAGGCGATCCCCCTCCTCCCCGAGTGCGGGCCCCGGCTCCCACCATCCCGGCTCCCGCCATCCCGGCTCCCCGCCATCCCGGCTCCTGCCTCCAGCTGCCGCCAGCCAAGGTTGCCAGCAGGCCCTGCTTTGGAGCTGTACCAGCGCCTCCCGCTGGCTGAAAAGCGCCACTACACCCCCCCCCCCCACCGAAAGGTAAGATAGGCAAACCAGCGTTTTATTTCAAGTAGAAGTACTTGATAATTTTACACCTTAAAACTGACTAACAAATTTTGAGTAATTCTTGTAATATGGCTGACAACATTACCTCACAAGAATTTGAAAACCTTTTTGCCTGTATGATGAATGACATCTTCCTGGAAATATACGACCTTCCTAAGGCATATCTGGCCTGTACCATTTTGGTATTCATTGTAATAATCCACACAGTGTTCAAACACTGGTTTAATAGCAAGAACAAAGATGAGTCATTATTGGGACTGATACGGGCTTTAAGTGAGAGCAATGAGGGCTTACAGAAAAAGATTCTCTCTCTGGAATCTGCTTTAACAGATAGCAATGAGACCTTAGAGAAAAAGATTCTTTCTCTGGAATCTGCTAACCAGGATTTACAGGCTTTCAAAACTAACAATGAGGGCTTACAGAAAAAGATTCTCTCTCTGGAATCTGCTAACCAGGATTTACAGGCTTTCAAAACTAACAATGAGGGCTTACAGAAAAAGATTCTCTCTCTGGAATCTGCTTTAACAGATAGCAATGAGACCTTAGAGAAAAAGATTCTTTCTCTGGAATCTGCTAACCAGGATTTACAGGCTTTCAAAACTAACAATGAGGGCTTACAGGAAAAGATTCTATCTCTGGAATCTGCTTTAACGGATAGCAATGAGACCTTAGAGAAAAAGATTCTTTCTCTGGAATCTGCTAACCAGGATTTACAGGCTTTCAAAACTAACAATGAAGGCTTACAGAAAAAGATTCTATCTCTGGAATCTGCTTTAACGGATAGCAATGAGACCTTAGAGAAAAAGATTCTTTCTCTGGAATCTGCTGATCAGGATTTACAAAACAGGCTTGTACCAAAAATTGATCTTATTGATAATAAATGTGAATATTTAATGGACAGAACACTAACTCTCCAGACACTATATAAGGAAGAAAGATTATCATTAATTGATAAGATAAGGTCCATGGAATCATGTGTTTCTGAGGAACATAAAAACTTCTATGATTCCATGAGAAATCTGGAGTCCCTTGCCAGAGAGGAGGTTCACTCCATAGAACAGACTCTAGGTGCTCGTTTGCAGGCCTTAGAAGAAACTCTCAGGAAACATGACAAGGGACCTAATAAGCAGAAGGGCAAGACCATAGAGGTTGTAACATCTCCAAATGGCTCTCACACAATGGCTTATCCTGTTATCATCCATGAGAAGCCAGCGAATGACACACACCCCGAGCCATATACTACATATACAGTACAACCAATTTCAACAAGGGACTTTAAAAATATAAAGGAAGCAGTAGTTATGTATGGGATACACTCCACATATGTAAAACAATTGTTAAATTCGTGGTCTACCTCACATAGAATCATCCCAGATGACTGGCATCAGTTAATTTCAGCTGTTCTAGAATATAGTCAGCAGCTACAGTGGCAAAGCTGGTTGAGAGAAGAGGCAAAAAATTTAGAACAACAAGGTAAAATCAGAGGTTTTGTGATCTCCCAAGATCAAATACTTGGTGAGGGATGGTTCGCTGACAGGAATGTACAAGCCACTTATGATGAACATACAATATCCCTATGCCGTACAGCAGCTCTAAATGCTTGGGAAAAAATTCCAGAACCTGGAAAACCAACTGAGGTATACACAAAGATATTTCAGGGACCACACGAATCCTTCACTGATTTTTTACAAAGACTGAACACAGCTATAACAAGAGCTGTATCAGATAAAGAATTAAGAAAAGTATTAACTGAGTCCTTGGCGTTCGACAATGCTAATGCAGAATGCAGAAGAATACTTACACCATTAAAGATCAGATCAGCTCCTTTGGAAGAGTGGATTCAGTATACTAATGGTGT